CACGCTGCCCCTGCCCTGCCAGCACCGCGGCCCAGGCCACCGCAGGCTGCCAGCCAAGCCCGGAGCTTGCGGAAGAGGCAGTGAAGCAAAACCAGGCAGCGGTAGATTTTCCACAGCGCCGGTTGCGTGCTGGTCCCCACACAGCTGCCCGGTGCACGGCGGGGCTGCAGGGACGCAGGGGACAACGGGGCTGTGGTGGGAGATGGCCCCCCCGGAGCTGTGCAGCCCCCCGTGCGATTTTGAAGGTGTTTTCTTGCACACTCGCTGGTGCTGAGCCAGTACAGCCTTGCTGAAACCCACAGCCCTCCTCCTTTGAGTAATTGTTCAATTACTGCTTATTGAGCGTGGGGGCAGCCTGTTCCCTGTTTCTCGCTTTGGCAGGCGCCCAGGTTTTCCATACACACATCTATTCCCCCTTTCCATCTCACAGCCGCGTGCTGGGAGCGGCTCGTCGTGCCGGCGAGCCAGGAGCTCTGGTGGGAAGGGCTGTAGCTGCCCCCCGTCCTCCGATGACGCCGGGATAGATGGAGGATGGCAAAGGCATAGATCACAGCGTTCAGAACACAAAGCTCCTTCGGTGCCATCTGTCTTGTGGTAGCTTCTGTACTCAAATGCCTGTTACCAGCAAGAAAATGGTGGAAAAAAGGAAAGAGCAGCTCCAAAGGGAACCAGGAGGGCTGGCAGCTGCTGGAGGTGTGTCTGGGTAGTTGGGGTGGTTGCCACCAGCAGGTATCTGAGCCTCAGGCTGGCTGGTTCACTGGATGCTGGAGAGCAGCTCTGTGGAGAGGGACCTGGGTGTCCTGGTGGACGACAGGTTAACCATGAGCCAGCAGCATGCCCTGGCTGCCAAGAAGGCCAACGGGATCCTGGGGTGCATTAGGAGGAGTGTGGGCAGCAGGTCGAGGGAGGTTCTCCTTCCCCTCTGCTCTGCCCTAGTGAGGCCCCATCTGCAGCACTGTGTCCAGTTCTGGGCTCCCCAGTTCAAGAAAGATGAAGAGCTACTGGAGAGAGTCCAGCGGAGGGCTACGAGGATGATGAGGGGACTGGA